CAAGGTGAGTGCTCTACCCCTTGAGCCACAGCACCACTTCTGGTTTTCTAGTGGTTTATTGGAGATAAGAGTCTGATGAACTTTCCTGCCTGGGCTGGCTTTGAACCGTGATCCTCAGATCTCAGCCTCCTGAGTAGGTAGGATTACAGGTGTGAACCACCAGTGTCCAGCTTTGCATATTACTCTTAACTCTACCACTTGAGCCTGAGCCACATCTCCACTTCCAGTTTTTTTTTTTTTTTTGTTGGTCTTGGGGCTTGAACTCTGGGCCTGGGCGCTGTCCCTCAGCTCTTCAGCTCAAGGCTAGTGCTCTACCACTTGAACTACAGCACCACTTCCTTTTTTTTTTTCTTATTGGAGTCTTATCTGCCTAGGCTGGCTTCCATCCTTTGTATTCAGTATCAGCTTTTGAGTAGCTTTGATTACAGGCCAGAATCACCTGTGCCTGGTAGTTCTGACTACCGGTAATCTTAACCAGTAACAGTTTTATTTGGGTTTGCTAAGTGTTGGCTGGAATTTTGAATTGTGTGTGTGTGTGTATGTTCGGTTGTGAGACTTAAACTCAGGGCCTGGGTGCTGTGTGTGTATGTGTGTGTGGTCAGTTGTGAGACTTAAACTCAGGGCCTGGGTGCTGTGTGTGTGTCTGTGTGTGTGTGTGTGTGTGTGTGGTCAGTTGTGAGACTTGAACTCAGGGCCTGGGTGCTGTGTGTATGTGTGTGTGTTTGGTCAGTTGTGAGACTTGAACTCAGGGCCTGGGTGCTATCTGTGAGCTTTTTTGCTCATAGTTAGTGCTTTTAGCTACAGGGCCACTTCCAGGTTTCTTGTGGTTAATTGGCAATAAGAGTCTCAGAGACTTTCCTGCCCTGGCTGGTTTTTGAACCCCGAATCTCAGCTCTCAGCCTCCTCAGTAGGCATGAGTCACTAGAAGTGGTGCTGTGGCTGAAATGGTAGAGTGCTCCCCTTGAGCTGAACTGCTGAGGGACATTGCTTAGGCTCAAAGTTTAAGCCCCACGGTAAAAAAAAAAAAAAGCGTGTTTGCCTAGCATGCATGAAGCGCTGGGTTTGATTCCTCAGCACCACAGATACAAAGGATGCCAGAAGTGGCACTGTGGCTTTCAAGTGGTAGAGTTCTAGCCTTGAGCAAAAGAAGCTCAGGGATAGGCCCTGAGTTCAAGGCCCAGGACTGGCCAAAAAAAAAAAAAAGGATTAGCCACTTCTGTGTATAAGTATGTTGAATTTTCAGCTTTTGCTAGGTGCTGGTGGCTCATGACTGTAGTCCTAGCTACTCAGGAGACTGAGATATGAGGATTGAAGGTTCAAAGCCAGCCCAGCAGAAAAGTCCATGAAACTCTTATCTCCAATAAACCACTAGAAAACTGGAAGTGACACTGTGGCTCAAGCGGTAGAGCGCTCTCCATGAGCTGAAGAGCTAAGGGACAGGGCCCAGGCCCAGAGTTCAAGCCTGATGACAGACAAAAACAAAAAGCTTTTTTTTTTTTTTTGTCGGTTGTGGGGCTTCAACTCTGGGCCTGGGCGTTGTCCCTCAGCTCTTCAACTCAAGGCGAGCGCTCTACCACTTGAGCTACAGCGCCACTTCCAAACAAAAATCTTTTATGACATTTCCAGTCATGTGTATACTTTAGATGTATTTCTTTTTTTTATTTTTTTATTTTCTTGGGTCTGGTCGTGGGGCCTGAACTCTGGGCCTGGGCGCTGTCCCTCAGCTCTTCAGCTCAAGGCTAGCATTCTACCACTTGAGCCACAGCGCCACTTCCGGCTTTTTTCTTTTTACTTATGTGGAGCTGAGGAATCGAACCCAGGGTTTCATGCATGCAAGGCAAGTGCTCTACCACTGAGCCACCTTCCCAGCCCTAGATGTATTTCTTTCTCTTTTAATTAGCCTATATTAGTTGTATAAGGAGTTGGGTTCATTGTGGTATTTTCACATATGCAGTGTGTCATATCAACTTCACCCCCTCTATCACTCTCCTTTACCTCCTTAACACAACTTCAACTGTTTCTTTTTTTTTTGTCGGTTGTGGGGCTTGAACTCTGGGCTTGGGCGCTATCCTTGTGCTCTTCAGCTCAAGGCGAGCGTTCTACCGCTTGAGCCACAGCACCACTTTCAGTTTTCTAGCGGGGGGGGGAGGGGGATTGGGGGGCGGTTTATTGGAGATAAGAGTCTCACGAACTTTCCTGCCCTGGCTGGCTTTGAACCCGTGATCCTCAGATCTAAGCCTCCTTAGTAGCTAGGATTACAGGCGCGAGCCACCGGCGCCCGGCTCATTGTTCTGTTTTCATACATGCAAATAATAGACTGTCTATATTCATCCCCATTCACTCCTCGTTTGCTAGCCCAACCCCCTCCTGCCTGTACCTATCCTCCAACGGATTCCCTTTTAATAGAACTTGCTGACAGCATTTGCAATAAAGTGAGATGGGTTATATCTGACTGGGTTGTGTGGAGTTATCTGGGGGTGTTTTCTCTGTTGCTCAGCTCAGTCTGTCTTGTTTTTAGAGATTAGGCTTTGTTAGATTTATTAAATTAATACATTTTACACAAAGTAACAGTCTGTGTGGTCCCCTACGTCCCCCCCCCAGTTTTGGGGGGGCCTTGAATTCCTGGCTTGGACATTGTGCCTGAGCTTTTGCTCAAGGCTAGCACTCTACCGCTTGAGCCATAGCACCACTTCTGGCTTTTTTTTGGGTCCGGCCGTGGGGCCTGAACTCTGGGCCTGGGCGCTGTCCCTCAGCTCTT